AAAATATTAAAAGTTTTTTACTATGTTTTTGATATACAGTGCATAATTACTATCTATAGTCACCTTATTTTACAATAGCAAACATGAACTTACTCTTACGTGATTTCATTGTACTGCTCATTCAGCAAACTTTCTCCATGCTTTGCTACCATCTACTGTTCCCAGCCCCTGCCAGTTACTATTATATTCTCAACAATTTCAACAAGATGAGCTATTTTATATTCTACATATAAGTGACAATTGGGGTATGTCTTTATGTACCTGGCTTATTTCACTTAACATAATGACCTGTAGTTTAATCCATGCTGCTGCAGTGACCGGATTTTATGTCTAAATAGTATTCAATTATATGTATGTATTACACTTTTGTTAGTTCATTAGCAGGTGGGCAGTTAGGGAGTTTCCATTTCTTTGCTATTGGGAATAGTACTGCAATGAACATGGGCATGCTAATGTGTCTTTAGCATGCTGACTTCAATTACTTTGGATGTATATTCAGGAATGAGATTACTGGATTATACATAAGGTCTAGTTTGAAATTTTTGACAAACCTTCATGCTGATTCTGAAAATAGGTGACTATTTTACATTCCACTAACAGTGTGTAAGAGTTCCCTTTACTCCACATTGTTGCTAACAATATTTAATTTTTGTCTTTTTAGTAATAGCTATTATTGGAATGAGATAATATCTTATTGCAGTTTTGATTTGCATTTCCCTGCATATCTGTGATATTGAGCATTTTTCCACATACATATTAGCTATTTGTATGTCTTCTTTTGAAAAACAGCTATTATTTATTGCCTGTTTTTAGTTGACTTATTTGGGTTTTTGTTTGCTTGTTTCTTGCTCTTAAGTTTTGAGTTCTTAACTTTTAGAGACTACATCACAGTGTTGGCAGTGTTACAATGAGTTGATTTTTTGTTTAAATAATTTCTAAAGATGAGCAACTATGATTAATGTATATTCTTAATTTATGTGGATTTTGTGGTGTTTTGTGCCTAACATCCATTTCATTCTTACATTCATCTTTTCATCTCATATACTGTTGGTCTCTGCTAAAGTCACAAACTCTGGTGAAGATTTTTAAAATATGGATAGTATTATGCTGAGTGAAGTAAGATCATCTTTGCAATACACTTATGAAATCAAAGGAAATACATAGGGCTGGGAAGATGGCTCAGTGGAATAAACACTTCCCTGGCAAGTGCAAGGGCCTGAGTTCAATCCCCGGTTCTGCAAAAATAAATAAATAAATGAAATACATAATTATTGTGTTTTTAGTATGATCTATGGAAAAGGTAAAAAAAATCGCTTAATTTCTGAGTCCAATATAACTAAGGTTAATATAAAATGTCATATGCAAGCCTGTGGCTCAGATAACCTGGGTTTTAGTCCTTTCTGAAACTAGAATCAATAGGACTAAGACAGCATATTTTACTTCTTTGAATCTCAATTGTTTTACTCATATAGTATGAATGCACAAATTTTGACAATGTACTCATAAGAGGAGTTACAAGGAATTATTTTCCTGAAGTATGTTATGCATCTTAGAAGAAAGATCTTTCAGGTCATCTCCAAGATTAACAGTTATACAGTTAAAATATTTGCTACTATTTATCTTATATTTATAATGTAGCCATCACTATATTCAGATATTTACATATATCATCATTCATACTCAAAATAACTGTGAAAGGCATGTATCCCCTATATTTCACAAGAAAAAGTGAGACTTAGGTCAAGTTCCCCAGTGTTATATATTTGGTATTTGGCAAAGTTGATTTGATTCCAGGTAGGTCTAATACCAAAATCTTGGATTATTTGTTACTGTTACAGTTCTCTTACCAGTCTATTACAGATTGAAAGTTATCAAGTAATAGTTATTGGGTTTTTTCAGCTTCATTAGTTTCCTAGGGCTATGGTAGCAAATCCTGACACACAAAAATGTAACAAACAGTTTTAGTGCTTAACGTTTACAAAGCACACTAGTATTGTATACTTTCCCTTGCTTACAATAAATCCAGCAGATGTTATTCAACTAGCTTCATTTTATAAAATTGGAAGTTCACAGTTACTTTCTAAGGTCACAGAGTTAGTACATCAGTGTTAGAACTTCAGTGTAAATTTTCTGTCTCCTACCTAAATCTTTATTTTTTTTTTTTAAACCGGAGATTGAACTCAGAATCTTATGCTTGCCAGGCATGTGCTTATTCTACTGAGCAATTTCCCCAGGCCCATCCTACCTAAATCTTGCAATTTGTCCCATTATACTAGTATTATTCTTTATTGTGTTGAGAAATTCAAGAACTATAAAGGGAAAGTGCTTTGGGATCATAATATCTTGGAATCAGAAGAAACAATAAAAGTCATATATTTCTGCAAGAATCTCCTAGAGATTTTAAACCCTGACAGCTGGATTCATACTACCAACAAAGTGTCAAATTGAGTCAGGCTTACATACAGCATTTCACACTAGTATAGCGAAAGTTAATTTCATTGATAATATTCAAATATGAACATATAATATTTAGGCACGGGAGAAAACCAACTGAGAAACAAATTTCTGAGTAAGGAGCTGAGCTAAAACTAACTTATGGTTATTAAGGAACTAGCTATAAAACTAAATTGAAAAGTAAAATACAAATGCATGTTTGCTTAAAGAAATAGGCTTTGAGGTCAGACATTTTGGATTTATATACTACCACTCACTAGTTAGATGACCTGAGATATGTGACTAAACCTGCCTAAATTTCAGTTTCCTTCCACGCAAAATGGACATAATAATATATACATTATTCTATTGGTACAAGTATTGAAGTATATAATGTATATACAACATTTAGAAGGGCAACTGGCATAGTAAATTGTAGTTTTTAATAATAAAATATTATTGCTGTTATTCCTCTAATGGTAGAGTATCATCTCTCTCCACTCAACTTGTCTTGGAAGTTCCCTGTGAGAAATATCTATTATTCAATACTTGCATGCAAAGGATAATTTTGTCCTCAAGAACCACATATAAAAATAGAAGGCAGCACACCATGGTAGTATACACCTATAATGCCAGCTACTTGAAGCTAAAGCAAGAGAATTGAAAGATCAAGCCTAGCCTGGACAACTTAGGAAGGTCCTGTCTCAAAATAAAAGCTAAAAAACAGAAAGGGGCTTAGGATGTAGTTCTCGCAAAGACTCTGGATTCAGTTTCTACAACCACCCATTTGCACATGTGCGCATGCACATACGAAAGCACTAGACAACTTAATACTTTAATGGCAATAATAGTAGACATTTATTGAGTCATGAGAATGTGTTTTGTTCACTTCTATTCTAAATACTTTTTTATGCATTAATTCATGTTTTTAAAACAACTTTATGAATCAGGCAGTATATTTCTTTTTTATATGCAAATAAAATGAACACAAGGAGGCAAAACACTTTTTTCTTAAGATTTCAACATATTATGTGAGAAGCACTCAGGCTGTAGCAAGTCAATCAGGAAAAGTGAAAATGCTCAATTAAAATGGTTATCTACACAGAAGAATATTGAAGCATCAACTAGTTCACATCACAATTTAAAAATTAAGCCATAATAGATCTAAGAATAATTTATTATGAAGTAGCAGAGACAGACTTTGAATCTACACATTTAGCTGTAGAACTCACATTTTAACTACGAGAACCCACAGTTTTAACTACTATAGTTGGTTGTCTCCCAAGCACACTGCTATGTTATCCCCATATTCAATGGTTCCTTTACATGAATAATAGCAAACTAGGGCTTTAAAATGCCATGATATGAATGCTAGGTAAGTTACTGTGTCATAATAATTCCCATGAAGTGTGAATTAAAAATGGCAATAGAAAGTGGCTATAAAAATATTCTGGCTACTGTTGATAAAATAATATAAAGCTAAAGGTTTGTTCAGAATCTTAGCTTATATTTTAGAAACTTGGCACAAAAAAAGAAAACTGGCATAAACTGCAGGTAAAACTAAAATGGTAGTGATGACTAAAGATAAGCATAGTAAAAATACTGGAACAATGATGGGATGAAGAACATGGCCAGTGTAGCCCTCTCTCAGGTCTTTATCCTTTGAAGAGCAATAGATTGAGCCAGGGAGATGGCTCAGTAGAATAAGCGCTTGCCTGGCAAGTACAAGGGCCTGAGTTCAATCCCTGGTTCTGAAAAAAAAAGCAATAGATTGGGAAGAAATGCCAGGTACTTAGGAAAATAGTGATCAACCAAGACACAGGCAGTGGTGGTGAACCCATGGTTCCCATGAATCAGCAGGCTGATTATATTACTGAAAGCTCAAAAAGTTTCACTATTACTGTAATAAGATCACTGGGGCAGAGAGATTAGCCACCTATTTCCTTCTCTATCATACATCCTGGAAATTTCCAATTTTTTTTCCTATAGCCAAAGTGACACTGAAATTATAGGTTGCTGTGTTTCTTGTTAATCTTCCTTAAAACTATCATCCTAAACTTTCCAAACACCTAAGTGTTTCTGGGGTAGTTACCCAATTTATAAGAGTTTACGTGATTCAGTTTTAGATAGAAAGAAGGAAACATTTATGACCAATACAATTTATAACATCTACTTACCTTTTTCTGCTGTGCTCAAAACAGTCACTGTGAAAAGAGTGAGGGAGAGAGCAAGAGAAATCAAAATTAGTGATATTCATGTTTTTCTATCTTATTTTCTCCAGCATCATTTTTGAGCAGTTTATGCAATGATACCACTATCCTAAAATAAAGACAAAGATGGTTAGATTCCATTTTTGGATAACTCCTTCATCACAAACCTTCAGTAATTAAGAATTTCCATTCATTAAAAATATGATATTTTTTAAAAACCCAATAAACAGAAACATCTAAGCTCTATAATGTATCATTAAGAATTTCAAAACTGATAGATTGGCTGGTGATTATAGGTGCATATTTATTATTTTTCTGAAGTAACATTTTATAGAATATCATAAGTAGAATAATCCTTAGTAACTATCAGGTTTATTTTACAAATGGGGGTATACCTGGAGCAATATCAAATGATCTGCTTAATATCACAGAGCAATGCATTGGTAGAGCTGGGACTAAAGTCTAGCTTCCAAAACTTGTGCCACATAATGTGTTTATCTCTTTCAATTTTCCCCTGCCATTTAATGTAAGCAATTCATTATTTTTATTCAGAATGGTATTTATACATAATGAGGCTTACCTGTCTGTATCTAGCATCATCATCTGTGTGCACTTATATTACACGCTAAGTTAAACAGAAATTACAAGACAGTTCTCAATCCTCAGAAGCTGTTAAAGTAAAACTGCTCTTGTACCTAATAATGAGTAGTAGAGGCAGAAAAAATGTGGTAAAATCAAACAGTGAATGAAAACTATACTCCAAGTGCAACATTTTCAGGCCCTTCATCAGTTACACTTTCTCTTTCTTACTTTTTTATTTTTTAGTCTTCTTTTTTTAAAAAAAATGCATTTAGTACAGGGTATCCAGGGTCTTACTATGTAAATCAGACTTGTAGTGATTCTCTTGTTTTCAGTCTCGCAAGTGCTGGGATTACGTATGTGTGCCACCACGCACACTCTCAATTGCTGTCTCAGCATGCCCCCCGGGGGGCGGGGCCAACATGGATGCTGGGGATTGAACCCTGGCCACTGCGCTCTGCTTACACAGGTGCTTTAGTTCTTTTTCTCTTAAAGAGAGAAAAAAGTGTCATATTTTATCCTAAAAATCTGACCACATGATATATTTTCTGTTTTCCAATAAACTAACCTAGAGACTGCTAACAAGTTCTTCTTTATTTTCCCAGTTAACAAATCCTACTTCTGAATGCATGCAAGAAGCACATATTCTGGCAATAAGAAGCCTCACTGAGTCAATTTGGGATTTTGTGATTTTGCCAATGCATGCTGCATGACTGAATCAGTTCCATGAGGCCTTAAATAGGGGTAATATTACCTTTTTTAAATGGATTAAGAGAAAATAGAGTTGTTTGGACAACAACCTCAATAAAACATAGCTGCTCTTTGATGTACCTGCTTCTCTCTGCCTAGACACGTGCACTTATTTATTTTTTTACCTGACATATCAAAAGTTTCACATATAATTGGAGTATAATAAAATGTTTGATACATGTATATACTGTTTGTATCACTTTAAACATTTTCAAATAAGAAGGAAGGTGCTAACTCTCATTTGCTTGGCTGTTTGCTACAGTGCTGTAGGTAAGTAAGAGAAGATTACTAAATACTTATAGATACTGGCACTAAACAATGTGTAAATGGGCAATGAAAGAGAAACACTGAATTCTGCAGGTATGGGAAACCATTTTTAAGAACTCTTACATGTAAACAGGATTGATTTACATGATCTAAAAGCAGAGAAACAATCAATGGATGAAAGCATCAAGTTAACAAATTCTAGCTCAATATAGAAAAAATAATGCTGATGAAGAACAGGAGGAAAATGAAAATGATCACTAGCTTTAGGAAGGAGTAAGTTTCCCAATACAAATACCTGAAAATGTAGTAGACATTTGAACATTGGTTTGAAATTTGACTTGCTTTTTAAGACTTTTTGCCCTTTGAAATTCATAAGGATATAATAAGTCAAAGGGAAAATACTTTCTTGCAAAATTCCTTATTGGAAGAAAATTATGTACTTCTGAAAAAGAAAAATACCTTATTCCTAAAGATTGTGGCATTGATTTCCATCGTTTTTCCTTTCTTTTATTTTTCTAATACCATATGACCTTTTGTACTATTAAAGGAATAGGCTAAAATAATTTAATTGTATTTAAAAAGAAAATGTTGTAACAGTTATATCAAACTTTCAGAAAATGAATCTTTTATCATGAATCTCTCGGGTAAGGGTACATTTAACCAATTCTAATGTTAACTTGCCATAGATGATTATAAAGTAATGTGGTAGTACACATAGTTACATTTATTATGTTCCTTCAAATTTCAGTTCACTACTAGGGATGTGTTTGACTGGAGTTATCATCAAATAGTTTTTTTTGTATTGTTTTTCCCTCTTTTCCTCTCACTTATTTATTGATTTTTTGTAATGAGGCATGAACAACATTATAGAAAGTTGGAGTACACAAAATAATATACAGACAATCAGGTTAAAATCAAAGGATATGTCACAAATTCTTTTAAGTAGATGTATACTATATTTTGAGAGAAGAGACAAGTAGAGGATCAGAGAGAGAGTGCAGTGACATAATCGCCTACCTGGCAAGCACAAGGTCCTGAGTTTGATCCCCAGTACACAGAGAGAGAGAGAGAGAGAGAGAGAGAGAGAGAGAGAGAGAGAGAGAGATACAAATAACACAAGCCTAATCTCTACTGATTGAAGATGATGAAAAACTATACTAGAAAGGACATGGAAGAAACTCTAAAACACTGCTTTGAAATAGAAACATTATGAGATCAGGTCATTTAAAATTCCTGGTAGAAACATTTTAAAAAGCTAAAAAAATAAAATGAAACTAATTTTGTCATATATTTTATCTAATGAAATACATAAAAACAATGTTTTTATTTTTATTTTTTTCCATAATTTTATTGAGAGACAAATAGCAATGAGACAGTTTCAAATCAAAATTGGTATGACAGTTTCAACAATTAACACATTGCAAACTCTTTTCCTAGTGGTTATTTGCTGTACAAGAAGCAGACATGATATCCTATTTACAAACAGTATTACAAACAAATCCCTCCATTCATTAAGAGAATGTAACTATATATCTATCCTAACCATTTTGAACACATGGATACAAAATGGACATTCATCTGTATCCACTTTTTTGTTTAGTTCCATCCATAAAAACAATTTCATCATGTTATCTATATACAAATTATTGAGTCTTGTTTTCATTCTCTTTTGAACTAAGTTTTGAGATGATGGTGTGCATTTCATGCCTCAAGAAAATCTCAATTTAGATGCTACATCAGAGGTACCTAATAGACATGTAGGGATGGTAGCTAATGAATTATTATGTTAAAAAAGGACATGGAAAAATACAACAGGGAGATAAAAATATGGCAATCCAGTGTCATTTGTGCTTCTTTACAACATAAAATTCTCTTTAAATCAATGACATGATTGGGAAGAGTATTTATTGTATTATTGTGTAGTGCATATTTAATATGTATTTACCTTCTTGATCTGACACTTATTCTTTGATCTTGGACAAGTTAGTTAATCAGTCTGTACCTTAGTTTCTTCATGTATAAGGATAAAATTATTTATGTCATCAGGTTATCATAATACTTAAATAAGAATAAAAGGGTTAAGTATTTAGATGCTTGGCATATGATATGTACATAATTATCACTTTACTGGGAAAGATGAATGTTTCACTATGGTTATGTTTCACAATAAATTTAGGTTAAAATAAATATGTGTTTATAAAAAATTGTACACACCTGAAGTTATATATGATAGCTTTAAAATAATTAATTCAATATCAAAATGAATGGCTGATTTCCAGTTTTCTTCTTGGATATTTCTTAGATAGTAGATTAAGAGAGGGAATAGAATTTTACTTAGTGAAATGAAATATATTTCTGATTATACTTTGCTTTTGGAGAGCAAGATAATCATACCACTCTGCATTTACACCTCTTTATTATAGATATCAGCCATTAATTTATATTTGATTCAGTTATTCTTAAATGTTGAGGAACCTAATAATTACATAGGGAGCAGGACAATGATACAAATCTCAGGGTCCCCTTCACATAAATGTCTGGGTAGAGGTATAGGAATTTGTACTTTAAAAATATAGCAAGTGATTTTAACTTCATCCAGATTTAAGGACCACCATATTTATGTTAGAAATTTGATGTTATAGCTTGCTAATCACGTGTGATATATATGGATGACTTACATAAAACTATTTTAGAGTGGTAGTATAGTTCATACAGGTCTGAGTGGATAGCTTTTACTTCTGTAGCAACTTGGTTTATAGAAAATGGTTATTTTAGCTTTTTGCTTTGTATTTTCAGTTTTCATTTCATCTGATTCTCTTAGAAGAGTTTCTGCTTTTTTTTTTTTTTTTTTTTTTTGGCAGAACCAGGGATTGAACTCAGGCCCTTGCATTTGCCAGGGAAGCGCTTATTTCACTGAGCCATCTCCCCGCCCCCTACTACTTTTTGAGCAGAACTAATTTCTATAATGTTTATTAAACTAAAAATGCATACTATTGTCTCAAAAATGTCAGAATAGGGAAATCTGGAGTTCCATCTCTACCCAGCTGGCAAACCTCCCTGAATCAGCTTTTGTTGAACTCCGGAATCTGGTAAAATCTAGAGTACAACAGCTAGAGTGAAGATTTCATAAAAGTGGTATTTCTTTGTAGTAAGTGAATGCTGTGACAATTCAAATTGACTGCCTATTATATTCTAAATCCCATATCAGTAGGGACTTGAAGAATGGCACACTTACAGTCCAGATATTGGCTTCTAATGCCAGAAGAAGGAATATGGATACTATTCTCAAAGAATTGTGGTTGTGAGCCTGAATTATCTGGTGATCTCAAATGCAAAGTCTTCCCTGGGTTTTGTTTGATTGAGAATATTTCCAGGGATGGGTCACATTCCTGAGTGGT